AAAGAGGAAAATGCAAATTGTTAATTTTTGAAACTTTTTTTGGTTTGTTTGTTTATTTTTTAAGTTCAGATCTAAATTAATTATTATTATATAAGTGGCTCAATGAGTGTTGGGATTTTTTGCACATACTGCAAAAGACCCACCTGCTTTAAGTTAGTATGCAAATCAGTGACATGAGGACATTATATGTTCTCTTTAGGTGGAAATGCAGAATTCCCACAGGGATCAGAAGGACTGGAATCTCATCAACAAACAGCTCGAGCTACTTTAGAGAAAACACAGTTTGTTTTGTTTTTGTTTTTTATTTTTGTTTTTTTCTTACTCTCACTCATTCACCAACTCAAACCTGTCACTCACACAATCCACACTCGACAAATCCTTCCACTCCAGCCACCACACACACACACACACACACACACACACATGGATATTTTCTGCCCACAGCTGTTTTGGTGGGAGCTCTGTCTGACCTGCACCAGCATGAGCCTGCATCTGTATCGCACCATCGCAGAGGCATAAAGGAGTTAGCGTGCCTTCAACAAGATGTGTCCTGTTCCACCTGGTGGACGTGAATGCTCCTTATCAGATCACGCAGCTCAAACGTTGCATTCTGCGGATCAGACATTTCAACTAAAACAGACACAGAATCCTTCGTAGCAGAAAGGGCTCTGAACACGGTAGGAAAAAGTCAGAAAACTGATTTATGTTCTCGTCTCGAGTTCAAAGGTGAGAAAAAAGACACGAGCATTTTAACATGAAAGACAATCACATCTCCCTCCAATTGACTGTCTGTGGAAAACCTGATATGAGCAGATGTTGGGAAAGATGTTGATCTGAGTGTGTAACAGTTGCATGTTTTCATTTTCAGCATTGCACGGCTGACTTCGAAAATGTTTTGCGTGATATGGACCAGACAGAAACAATTTCTCATCTGTCAACATACTTACAAACTCGTTCTGCCGCCGCACTGCTTTACATCTGACTGTGGGTGGTGGTTTGGCTATATACAGTCTGTGTGTAGGTACTCGAGCATGTTGTATGAGAGGTTTAAAGCAGGTCAACAATAGTGGCATCGAAGGTGATGCACAAAAGGGTTTAGGTTAGAAGACACTTTTGGATCATTGTGGAAACAAAGATCAAAAGTTGGTTTTTGTGCTTTTGTCTGACAAAATTGGGGCTAAACTCATATTACATATAAAAGTAGTTTCCACCATAACAACAGTGTTTAAACTCGTTTTAAACTTTGTCGCCGGGCAAAGTTAAAGGTTAAAACTCACTTTAGCTCAGGCCACATACAGCCCAGTTTGATCTGTCCTGTAAAACCGAACACATGTGAGATTATAGTGTAAGATTCCTCTTTCTTTTAGTGAAAATAAGTTCGTATGCATTTCAAATTCAGTAAAACAGATGATGAACAGGCTAAGATGTTTCTTTCTTTTTAAAGTGCAGGTTCAACACCCAAGTTTCTCCACAATCAGCCGGTCTGCTGTCATCGCTTTGGTAAATCAAAGAATTGCATCAACACGGCTCCCTGGCTGAACCACCTTACTGTTGGGCTACGGCAGCTTTGTCTGTACCAAACCAGTATAACCAGTGAAGATGATGATGATTCAGGATAAAATGAACAATTCAGACAACCACACGGAGAATGTGATCACTTCCTATAGGACTTGTAACACAAGGTTGTTCTATGCGGTGTTTATTCTGCAAAAACCTTCCAGGTGACCTGATTGGACCATTCAAAAAACCATACAAAGCACAGAAGCCTTTTAAAGTAAAAGACATCAAAATGTGTTTAATATAGTTCTGAACAGATAAGTTAGACTGATTCTTTCATTTCATGCACTTTTTATTTTATGCACAACCTGAAAAATAAAAGAAATAATTTGGCACAGCCCAGGAAATAAAGAACACTCAGAGCAATAATCCACACTGATAAGTAAGATAAGATAACAGAAGTAGTAATAAGAAATGTGACAGGGTAAAACGTCCATCCTCACTTATATGAAGTATGAAAATAGGAAATGTCTGCTGTGAAAATCGGAGCCCTGCGCGTAATTGTTTGGTTTTTTTATCCAAAAATTTCTCTACATACAAATTATATTTTATTATTTCGTGAAAGATTAATTTCCGAGGACACACAGCAAACCCTAATATAGTAAGAATGAGGAATGTGGACGAGTCTCAACCAGTGAAGCACTGAGCGTTTGACCCTGACCAGTCTCTAAGAAACTCTCCTAATTGGCTGCTTCCACATGGACCTCTGCTTTCTTTAGAGCTGCAACTACTCGTTTATTTCATTGAAATCAGTCCAAATTGGGGTGGTTTACAATTGACACAACGAGTTTGCCATGACCTTTTCTCCTTGCTGTAAATGGGTACTCATTGAATCTGAAGGGGGAGATGGGGTGCTGGAGGGTGGGAGGTGGCTTGGGGGGGGTGGAGGAGTGTGGTTGCATTAGGTGGGGAGGAGGGGGGGAGGCGAAGGAGGGATTGGGTGGAAATCACAGCGGTGAAAATGGCAGTGCGGTGAAAGAGGGGCCTGATTGCACTGGGACAGCATGAGCGAGGGAGCAGCATGCTCAGCCCAATCAGAGCGACACAAGGAAAAAGTGCTCTTATCAACGAGTAATGGCCCACTTCACAATCACACAGGCACAAAACTGTTCTATTTAATGCTGATTGCAAAAACTGCTCCCCCCCATTTCTGAACCGCATGACTCCCCCAGATCTCCCTGCCACCTCCCAGCTTACAGCCAAGACCCTTTCCTGAATGGAATTTATAATCACCCCTCTTCCCTTTCCACGCTAATTGTTATTTTAAGACCTGCGTTGTGTATTAGCTATTTAGTGCTGGTGAAATGTCTGCTGTGATTACTGTGGTTATTGTGAGCGTGAA